TTGGTATTTTCATCGCATTGATAACACTGTTAATCATAAGACATTGCGCCGGAAGAAATAATAGGTTTTTCGAATATGGGAACTTGAGATAACATTTATCACTCGTAGGTGTAAAGCTAATAGAATTTCATACCAATGTATTTATATAAGAAGTAATGGAAACGACAATTTGCGTATTAGATTTTCCTCTTTATAGGTTAAGGACGCAATAATTGGTACACAATATTAAGCTTGACCGGGAAATATTTCTAATGCACACACAGTACTATATACGAGGGACGGTCAGAAAATATCCGGACTTTTCATGCTTCTCTCTTTCCACGTGCAGCTATATACACATATTATATATTGGTGAAAACTACATTCATTCGCCAATAACGTGGTCAGTTTATTTTCAATGATAGTTGTGTGTACACAGTATTTTGCCCTCTGATATATGATATGTGTTTCGTCTATCATGGACTATTTGTTAGAGGAATAACGCTCTGTAATAAAGTTTCTGATTGCAGAAGGTGAAAAGCCCTGCCACATCTTTCAGAGGCTTAAAAAAAGATTTTCTGATAAATGTGTATCACGTTCAACCTTCTATAACTGGGTTTCTCAGTTTGGTGAAGGCAGAACAAGTGTTTGTGACAGGCCTAGGACTGGGCGGCCAGCTGAGGCGGTGACCCCAACAATTGTAGCAAATGTTAAAGCTTTTGTCAACAAAAATCGTCGAGTAACTTTGGAGGAGGTAGCCAACAAGTTTAGCATCGGTAAGGCATCGGCACACAAGATTTTACACGAACACCTGGGCATGAGCAAGGTAAGTGCCAGGTGGGTGCCTAGACAGCTGTCCGCTGATCAAAAGGCAACCAGAGTAACCAATGCAAAAGAACATTTAAGTCGTTTTAATCGTGAAGGCGATAAGTTTTTGAACCGCATTATTACTGGAGATGAGATGTGGGTTCATTATTCCGAACCTGAGACAAAAGCTCAGTCAAAGCAGTTGAAACGAGCTGGTTCCCCACCTCCTAAAAAGTTTAAACAGTCTCCTTCGGCTGGCAAAGTCATGCTTGTTGCCTTTTGGGATTCACGAGGAATGATACTTACTCATTTCATGCCAAAAGGTCAAACTGTGACCGCCAAGTTCTATTCAGAAGTAATTCTGAAAAATCTCAGAGAAAAGCTGAAGCAAATGCGTCCCAGGTTATCACAGAAAAATGTCCTCCTTCTTCACGATAACGCCCCCTCCCATACCGCCGCAGCTACAGTGGAGGTTTTCAACTCTTAAAAATGGCAATTGTTGTCTCACCCTCCTTAAAGCCCAGACCTCGCCCCCTGTGACTTTTATTTGTTTCCAGAACTGAAAAAATTGCTTGCTGGAAAGAAATATAAGACCAGGGCGGCTTTGATATCTGCTGTTACACAGTACCTAAAGCATAGGTCTACGTCATGGTTCACAGCGGGAATACAAAAGCTCCCACGAAGATGGCAAAAGTGCGTAGACGTAGGTGGAGAATATTTTGAAAAAGAGTAGAAAGCTATAACTACCATTGTATGGATAACAACATGTCGGAGTACAAGTATGAAAAGATAGTCACACTAATTTAATAGAAACCGTATGTTCGTAATAATTAATTCACTTTTCATCAACAAGCCTGTTGCTTTATTATGACAGACGCTGCTGTCAAAAGAGATTAAAAGGCTAATTTGAAACTAGGTTTTTGTACTTCTTTATCATTTGAATCCCTCAATCAACTAGAATTTATTATTAACAATGAACAATTTTATAAAATTTAAATATAGAACAGCCTCTTGCACGTGTGATGAATTGCCTCGTTCCGGCTAAGAGTCTGAATAATGGATTACCAACGGACAATAAATGAAACAATCAAATGACTTAAAAAGACACTTTTGTTTCCATATCATTTTGTTTCTTTCATAATGATTTTGCCATTTTAAATTTTATATTAGGGCTTGCGTTCAAAAGTAAAGAAACTTGCTTATAGCTTGTTTGTGGTAATCCTATTGTATTGTGTCACCAACCTTAACCGCTTACCCGAATAGTTCTCTTGACTAACAAATGATGTCTGTGTTCTTCCATAAATGTTCAAACATTTTGCTTTCAGAATTTTTACTCTTCTTAATATCTTATTCATAAAGCATAAAATAAGTTCCACCAAACATTGATATTTTTAGGAACATTTTGTGTAAGTTTTATCTTATACCGTATAATTCTACTCACAAGTATTGATATTTTCTTAACATTAATAACATCATAAATCATAACGAATTGTGCTGAAAGAAATAATGGGTTTAGCGAATATGGGAACTTGAGATAACATTTATCACTTTTATGCGTAAAACTAATATAATTTCATACCGATAAATTTATATAAGCGGTAATGAAAACGTCAATTTTCTTAAAAGATTAGCCTCAATATAGGTCATGGAGAATATAAAGGGGAAAAACATCACATCCTCTAAAATATCCAACTAAAGCTAGGGACAGATATATTTTGACTAGAAGACGAGTCAATGTGGTCTAAAATTTCAAGAAATCGTTGTTGGACTTATTTGTGATAACGAAATAACAACAAAGGTGCAAACACATTTAAGCATTGCAGAAAACTTATATTAGAACCTCAATAGTCATTTTTTTCTGATGTAAACGTCGCATTTTCTTTTACTGAGGAATAGAACGGCTGAATTTGCAAATAGAATATTTGTTTATCTGAAGAAAAAAACGAATATATTCAATTATTTACCATTTTTAGTAATTTCATTTGAGAATAATAAACAGCAGTATTAAGAAAAAGAATCAGGAAAAAGAGTGAATCCTCGGAAGAATTGAAAGCAACAATATTATTTGAATGTTGAAGCGCTCGATTTCATTGAGTCTGTGCATGAAATATAATAGGGGCTCACGCACCCTTCCTCGTCGTCCCTGCCTACTTTGCATGGCATCTTCCCCGCCGCCATTAGTCAGTGCATAGGCATTTGGTCTGCAGGATACAAGTTTCGGGTTTCTTTTTCGTTCAAATCTTCTGCCGATGCCCTGTGTCTTCTCCACGACTTATACGTACCGAGGGGGGAATCCTTACGCATTTGTCAGATGTTGTACTGATAGCTTAGAAAGTAGGATGCACTCAACCTTTACGCCAACACTGTAGTTTCTGTTCAGTAATGAGAAAATTGCTTTATTTAGTAATTTACAGGGTCCTTCGAAAAGAAAGATACTCGTCCCACATTGCAGAGAACTATCCATGGGCAATGTTTCATATTTCATATTTGTATATAAATCATTTTCATGCTTGATTATTTCTCTAGAACATGCCACACTCATTCTTTAAAATAAATGTACGAAGTATCAAAATAGATACGCTGCGTGATATACAAACGAAGATTCATCTAATGTAAAAGCTTCTATGATTAATTTGCATGGATGCATTTATCAATTTATTTTAATTTTGTAAACATTTTAATCAAAGGTTTTATATTGTGTTTATAGCTAGGCGGCTCTCTGTGCATGACGAAACTGCCGATGTGTTTATATCTTTATATTTTTTGTATTGATTAATAACAAGACAATTCTGCTGATTTTGCATTCCGTTGCTATCCGTCTAGTTACAGGAAATTAGAAACTTCCGCCGTGTTATGCACTAAAGAAAATTAATGCGATACGTTTTGCCCTTTTATAGTTTTGCAGTATTCATCACGTGCACATTGTGCTGGATTTATTCGTATAAAACGCGTATCGTGCGTCATGCTTCCTACACAAGAAATTGTTTTAACTTAATTTCACTTATTTGTTAAAAATCGATGTGTTAACGTGTCATCTTTTCGGGAAAAAAGACTCCTAAAATATTAGAAAGAGTTCATAGTGACTTTTATAAGTATTTATATAATGCTGATCAAAGTATTGTAAATCAAAAAGTATCACAAGGCAGAGATATGGAGAGAATAACGCACTTATTTTATTGATATATTTCCTTATTTCCTTAGATTATTTAGATATGGGGGCATGATGTGGTTCTTTTGTGCTTAACAATTTGGTAATTACGCGTTATTTATAACTGTGCATTGTGAACAAAGATTTAACTACAAATCTTAAAGATTTCTCAGTACTGAAATGTACAATATCGAAAGTTTTTAGCGTTAAATGTAAACATAAACTAATAGGTATGGCTCTTATTCGTATCTGTCCAAATATATATTATAACATGTTTTTTAATTCATGTATTTCCTTATCAAGCGAAATACTAATGCAAGCGTCACAATGTCCCGAATTTGGCTTCGGGTGGACGCACGAATAAGGAAATGTTCAAATTCGGATCTGATCGTAATCACATCGTGCCATTCGTGAGGGCATCTTTTGCCATCGTATGATCCCCGGCTGAATATTACAAGCTCCGGAAGCAACTTCGTGAGCGGTTCCAAAATGTTTGGCATGCCAAAAAATTGCACGAAGACATTGCGAAGGTTAATTTTCGTGTTGAATTCGTATGTCAATTTTGCCCTTCGTAAGGCCGTCGTGAAGCCATCTTATCAAATCGTGTAGTCTTCGTCTTTTCTTCGTGTGATCATCGGTGCAATCTGGCATTTTTAGCCTCAAGAAGACAATACGAAGTAAACACGAAGATTCCCAATAGTCTTAAAAAGGAAACACGACTGCGTGTAGCCCCCGCAATACTGTCGTGTCACCATCGTATTTTGGTACGATGTCATGGAGATGGGACAACGATGAGGACGAAGAAAGCAATTTTTAGTGGCTCAAGCGTTGCATGTTTATCATGTTGGACATATAAACGGCTAGAGTATCTTCCTCATCTGTCACTCTTGCACATCTTTACAGAGACATCAAAAGCTTCCAATTTTTGCAATTAATTAACAATCATTTTCAGTTTATTTCCTGCAGAATTACGTGTTTTGATGATGAATCAACCGAGAAAAAGAAGGCAGCAGCATTGCTACTTTTAAGACACTTTTAGATATAGAGTTAAGAACAATAAACAAAATAAAACAATATTTCTTCATCACTGAAACCTACTTCAGTTATACTTTTACAATACACATTTTATAATGGAAATATATATTTCTCTGGTTATGCAGTATTTTCCAGACAATGCAATAAAAAGATTTCCATTGCAAAATCATTTGAATAATATGCCAATCGCAAACATTTGCGTAAAAGGTATTGGGAAGTAAATCTTGTAAAAGTTGTAGTCAATAGAAACCACAGAGTTATTTTCCCTTTGATTGTCAGTGCATGTGGCAGCGTGCTTCTCTTCACATGTAACTTCAGATCACTGTCTTTTAACTTGTAACGAAACGTCGAGTATATGAGTTATGGATAATAAATTAGTAATTTGTAGTTTTTCTTCCTAGTGGTATAGTTTCAACACTGCATCTGTTAATTTCTTTTCCTTGATGATTTTTTTTTTCACTTTTTCTTATTTTGACTAAAAAGTTTTCCTACTCTCAAAATACACAGAAGTTCTGAAACGAAAAAAGCAAAGGTGAATTATCTTCAATGTACTCAGGAAACTGAAAGCGTACCCTTTTATAACGTTATTTTACGCAAATGATGACACTTAGAACTCATTTAGATATTAAGAAAGTGGAACAAGCACGGGATGTTTGTAACTGATAACCTATGAGAGTTCAATTTTGGCGCTCTCTTAGGACCTATGAGAGTACACTTTGTTTGGTGCTCTCGTAGAGAAAAAAATACGGTGTTCTGTAAGTGACATCAATGTCTCGCAACGTTTCGGTCTGTCCATCGCACATGGGAGAAACCATAATAAGTCGATACGACAGAATATGATGTCATTTCGCCGTTATTAGCGAGGTTTAAAATTTTCAGTTTTCTCTATTTTCTCAGTTAGTGTAGTAAATATAATATGGCATATGCAAGAAAAAGAATCAAACACTGGGTAAGAATATCCGGCTCTCAAGAAACGGTTTGTGACTTCTTTGCAGATCCTCTTTATCGCCCTTGACAATTACTGTTAGATAGATTATTTAGATTTAATTACAAAATGCATGTGGGCAATATACCCACGAGTACACAGTATAAATATACATGTATGATAGTCTGCGTTCGAAACCAACATCAGATGCTAAATATTAGAAGTCAATATCAGATGCTAAATCTTAGAAGTCAATGTCAAATGCTAAATATTAAAAGCCAATGTCAGATGCTAAATATCAGAACTTTAAACCGTCCGTTTCGTTTTTAACAATTCACATATTTTCATAGGTTTTGCTATTGGCGTTTTTTTTAAACACGCTCAATACTCTGTTAATTTGCTGACGGATCCTGGGATATTTAATTGGAATATTGACCTGAATAATGTAAAAAATGCTAACATACCTTCCAGATTCAGTGTACTTGTGTCTCCATCTTTATCTGCTATGGTGAAAAGCAAAGTAAGCTCGTCGTCCGTTAAGGCCTTTCCATTCTTACTCATGAATTGACTGTGGGGGGAACATCAAACATTTGTTAAGTTTTAAGTTTATTTAATAAATTGTAATTTACTATTGCCTGTTTTATGAGCAAAGTGCAATGTAAATTAAATTTTGAAGTATTGTTGAAAGCAGCATCTACTATATATCAATTATTATATTTTGGAAGCATTTGTAGACTGAGAGAACCGTTCAGCTTACATGCAGTCATATTCAAGCCGTACCACGGGTGAAGAATATTTTTGTGTTCATTGCTAGTGGCGGCCGTAAAAATTCTCCCAATACGTACAATCAATGCTGTAATATTTCACCCTCAAGGGATTGCTCGTTCGGCGTTCATTGTTTGTATCCCTTGTCTTGTAGCGATTTGTTGGGATGTGAGTTCATTGGTTTCATATTTCCTGCCAACTCAACTAATTTCACATTTACCACTCAAACTTTTTTTCAATATTATGTTTTCTTTAATTTAAACTATTCAAAAAAGTCATGACAAACAATTTGACCGGGAAAGAAGTTTTATAATATCAGATTCTTACCGAAATTCATCTTTACTTATTCTCCCGTCAGCATTCAAATCACACGCTCTAAACATTATTTTGACGGCCATTTGTAATGACTTCTCGGGGTTATTGAAAGCTTCAATAAAGCCTTTATTCCATTCCTTGAACTCAGATTTACTGACAAAGCCATCTCCTGTAATTTAGGTTATATAGAAGTGATAATAGCGATTAGGAACTTCGTAACAGTTTAATCTACATGCTTTTGAAAGGTGTTGATTTTGACACCTGACTTCTTGTTTTATGCCTACGTCACATTAACGGGGACCGACCGATATAGAGGGATCGATGAGACACCGTTGATAAATCGAGATCGGAGAGAAACATTTCAATCATGTCCGGGAAGAAGTGGGCAGTCATTCTCCCTCTGTGGTCCATTAGGTATTCGGACGGTTTCCGTAGGGTACTCGCCTGGTCACCCTGTGAAAACCCTTGGCATCTTCTTTCTGGACACCGGTCGATATTCTAATGGTAACCGGCAGACTACCGTACGATAAATGTCCAATTGCCTTCCGTTATCTGGCCTGTTTGCAACAATCGTACGGTGACGGTAAAGTATACGTGCGATATTGGTATCGGACGGTATTGGTATGACATGCTATCCCATTTTCCGGCCGTTATTCACACCCCCTCTTTTGTTGGCATTTTTCATTGCCTTCTTTCCCTCTGATTTCTCCCCTTCCCCTTCTTGGCTTTCTGTTTTGGATGGTATATTACACTCTGAAATCAAAGTTTTTATAAAAGATTGTAAATGAAACTTAAAAACCTCTGATTAGATGAAACCTGAGAGAATATGTGTTTGTGTAATTGAGTTTCTTAATACTCGCCATCGGTTGCTCGTATAGGGGAGTCCTCCAGAAGAGTATTAGTCGTTTTAGATTTTGGAGGACAGCGCAAGATACAGGCGTTCAATGAACGCAACCACGACACTATCCAGCAACACAGTATGATCACCGTCAAGGAGCCAAGCAGTACACAAAACAATCTTCTCCTTCTTCTTTACCTATCCAAGTGTTTAAGCACTCATACACGGGACTTTGCTTTAAAGTCTCGTCCGAAAGATTCCTAGTAATTATGTCAGTTGGTCATCCCGGGAATCGAACCCACAATGTCCAGATTACAAGTTTAGCGATTTAACCAATTCAGCTCTGCACACTGGCTAATGAGAGAATGATGGTGGTATTTATGATTTACCCTGATGACTATAGCAGTAAGACAACTTAAATATACATACCAGAATACATACCAGAGCACAGTTCAGCCACCGTATCGTTCCTGGACAGTGTGCCAAGCAGTTAAACAGTAATAATATCTTTCACTTTCGCAAGGTACTGATAACTTCAGTACAACGAAAGTGACCTTCACCGTTGTCTAAGAATTGAACACGGGTCGCCTAATTCACAGTCCAAGGCTTTACCTGGCGTATGGTCTGTTTAATAACCCTAACGCTATCCTTACGGACACCTTAGGACCATACGTGCAACGTACTGCGTCCATTCGGGCCCTGGTCAGTTACCTGTTGAGACGTCTTCGGTGGCCGCTCATATACCGCTCGGAAACTGGAGGAATATTTGGCGCCCACGAGGTGAAAATTTTAACCGGTATGTAACCGATAACAAAAGGTGTTTGGCCAGGTATCGGATCGTATTTTACCGTGTCTGCTACGGTGTGCTGGCGATGTACCGGATGCCGGAATAAAATAACTCTGCACTTAAATTCTCCGATTACCTGTACGGTGCCCCACCGGTCACTTGTCACCGGCCGGAGACCTTTAAAAATTGGCAATTTCAGCCCGTTCAGACATCGCTACCCCATCGTAAACCTAATCGGAGTGTAATGTGACGCAGGCTATTCGGTGGGATTTTTTACGTCGCACCGATGCTATAAAAACATGTAATTTAAAATTAAAAAATTCATTATATTGGGGGAAAATCAAATATAGAAGAAGAAAATATCATTCCGGATGTATGTATGGCATTCATTGAAAGTAATTTATTTTGTAGGAAAATGCAAAGGTGCATAATAAAGATCAAAATAAAATTGTTAATAAAAGGGACTGCACTGAGGTTTTTCAGCATGACAGGACAAGAAATTTTTTCCAGATATTTGTGTACTATTTGATGTAGGATTGGACCAATAAATAGTTATGCAACTATTAACATTTTCAGAAAATTCTTCCATCTCATTTTTCCAAAATAATCATTCATATAGTGCACACCGACCTTAAAATGAAAAGCGTTGCGACGCTTTTCTCCCTTAAATCGAACTAAATTCGCACACAAAAAAAACGATTTTCCATTTAATTCTGGGCATATTTCTTTATAATCCTATTCAGATTTTTACATTTAAAGTGCTTCAATTGATCTAAGCAACTTAGCAAGCATATCAAATGTTATGGTTTGGGTGTGTACTCAGTGAAAAGACAAGACTTTTTTTAGTTACGCACTGTTTGTGTCCATGTCATTAAGATACTGTTCTATTTCTGTATCAGTTGGGTTATGGCCCATTCGTCGTAGAGCCTTTGCCAAAAACTTTTCTTTGACGTCATTAAATGATAACTTCCCAGTTCCTTCTGGATCCATGAGATCAAACACCAAATCGAATTCTGTGAATAAAGAAAGCGATGTTAGTCATTCATTTTCTCAATTACTAGTTTTTTTATAATCGCTGGAAGATGATTTAATAACGTTTATATTTAAATTAAAGAACATTTTTAAGGATAATAAGAAAGATGCAGTAGTCGGAAAGGAAGTTACATCTTTCTGTTTTAAGGAAAATTAAAACTAATTGTTACGATATTAAACTAGCTCAAAGTGTTTGATATAAAATATACTCTATTAAACAATTGAAATATTCACTTACTTGCATCATTCCATTCAACATTTTCCTTGTAAAGAAAAAATGAACACAATATAAATCATCCCATTGTATAAAAAATATTTTCGTTGCACTAATAATCTCCAATGACGGCAGCAAAAAGAAACTGTACAAATGCACAAAATAACTTTACAGTTACGATTTACAGTCAATTTAACATATTTTAACATATTAACATCAATATTTGTTCTATATTTAAATATTTCATTTGAAGAGTGATTGAATTTAGTTCAGCTATTTATTTATCAAAATCATTATGATGTGGTGGAAGTTTGTTTGATCAAAATTTATATCACGGAGTTAACAGTAGGTGCATTTTTCCTAGCCAGTATTATGAGAAACAGTGCCACTCTGTCAACAACATTAAAGATTGAAAACCTTTTTTATATCGACTTGTAGTTAAAAGTTTTTTCATCTAATGATAAAAACATGCAAACATTGAATAGTGGGTGTTTATCAGTGCACTTATACAAAATAAATCGGTCAATCGGCTTATTTTGTAAATGATTACCATTGTCTATACTTTAAAAAAATTCAGAAATCAAAGAAATAAATACTTAAAAGAAAATACCGCCATATTTTATCATTTAAAGATATTCCAACGATAGTACTTGTGTCTTGCCTATATATCAAACAATTTTCCACTGTATTTTGAATTAAGATTCGAAACTTTGTATATACATACCTATTTGTGTTATAGATTTAATATTCGATTTTTCAATAGCTAGCGCAATTAAATTTTGAATTTCGTTCAGAGTTATAACATGGATCTATCAGTGGTTTTAAGTTAGTATGTATACAAACTTGGTGTAATGTTTAACCGAAGGTTTAAAAGTAAAGTAAGCAGTTATTTAATTCAATAACAGTATACCATTATATTTATAGAATAGTAAGACCCGTTTAGATGTAATCAATTAAACGTGAAATATGTACATAATACAGTAATGAACATTTTATTCCATCAAAAAACAGAGCTATTCACAAAAAGCATTTCAAAGTTGTTGCTTTGGTCAATCTTAAGCTATCTACATGTATAATTTGAATAATATGTCATCCTTTAAAATTCGTACTATCTTTACACTTTTGTTTATTCCAGAGTCTATGATGACGTCAACGGCCCGACGAAAAGTTTTTGGTTGAACCGCTGTTATTTTGAGGCGTACAACTGATACGTCATTTTACAACATACAATTACAAAAGCTTTCTTTCTTTTCGGATTTTTAGCAAGATGTTTTTGTACAACTATTCAACGTTGGTATTGTTCATGTTGTGGTAAAATAGGATATACTTTAAGAACCAGTATGATATATGCTTGTACTTTTTACAATAATTTAGGACATTATTAAACTATATATAGTTGACTCCCGAAAATTCCCGACCATTGGTACCGCAGAGGCTGAATTTCGACATACGGCAATTACAAAGTTGGAGTGAAACTCAAACAACAAAATCCTTCAATGAAATGATACCTCATGCGTTATTTTATTATGTTATTATTCTCTTCAAATATATTTTATAAAGGTTCTATTTCACATGAATAATTCAATATTTGCCAGTCTTTGTGTCTAATTATGTCCAATTCTTCCAGCCGACATTACACTCAGAAGCTCTGGAAAAAAAAGAGAAAAAAATCATTATTTGACAATTATTGTAAAATAAGGCTTATCTTCTTTATCGATATTAAATTCAAACGCAACTAAATGAACCCTTGAGTGGGATCAACCTCCCGGAAGCTAACTGGAGAGTTCCCTCACGTGAAATATTCCTAAGTCCCTGGCGGGATTCGAACTAACTTCGGTATGAGGCAAAAGATTTAAAGAAAGTCGGAAGTATAATAGCTGTTTAACAAGTAGAAAATGGGTCGTTTAATAATGTTGTGTCAGTTGTAAAACTTTTACAATTTTACATACCTTCTTTGTTGAGGGAAGTGACGTCACCATCGTTATCTACTGCCATGAAAAGTTCTCTGACTTCGTCATTTTGTAACGGAAACCCTCTCTCCTTCAAGAATTTGCTGAAAATGCAGTAAAATATCCAATGGAATCACAGGAATAAGGAGAACAAAAATTCTAGCATTCCTCTAATCAAACTGAACTTTTTTTACACTTTTCTTACATTTTCCTCACACTGTCTTGTCATTCCACAATACATTAATCAACATTCTAAATCATCAATTTTAAGGAAAGCAAAAGAAACATGTTAGTCGGCAGACAATTTAGTGCAATTATCATTATTATATCACTTACAGTAAATTTTTTATGAGTTCATTGACCAAGTGACTGATAAAACAAGACGGAAATTATGCCATTCTTAAGGACTATTGTTTTGCCGCGGACGTGTAACTTATGGTAACTGAGATGAAACTGTCATATTTTACAAACTCGGCTTAAAGTTTTGTGTATTAAGACAAGCCCAAATTTTCTCGGAGTTATCCCTTTAAATAATTACTAAACTGAGCAGTTTTGCACTAGGTGATCCGACCAGTGATAGATAGTTTGTTTGTTTGATTGAATGGGTTTTACGTCACACCGACACAGTATAGGTCATATGGCGACGCTCCAGCTTTACTGGTGGAGGAAGACCTCAAGGCCCTTCCGTGAACAGGTGCCTACCAGTGAAAGAGCACTCGCCAACATACCATAATTTTTGCAGGAAAGTTTTAATATTTTGATGTAATAAATAAAAGGCGGCAATCATCAAATTGGTGGATAGCGTAAGCGATATAATCATAATGATAATGATAGAAAAAAAACTAATTAAAACAAATGCCTTACAAATGGACGGTCCATAATAATTATGGATCCCATATAAGATGATAATTTGATATTCACCTAAATTCCTTCCTACTCAATTTTCCGTTTCCGTCAAGATCACACGCTTTAAACATAACTTGGAGGGCAAGGTCTAGAGATTTCTGCGGGTCTTTAAGAATAGTCATGAGTTCTTTTATCCATTCTCTGAATTCTTCTTTACTAACTGTACCATCTCCTGAATTGCATTCAAAACGTTTTTGTATCACTGATATATTTAAATCAAACATGGGTTAAAGAGCTATCAATAGTGAAATTTAAGTCAAACGGAAAGTTTAACAAACAGGCAAGCAAATAGACGACCTTATAGACAACTAAAACGATGTGAAAGTATAATCAGACGAGTAAATAGACGATTAAATAGACGTACGGTTACACTAATACATAAGCAAGTACAAACAAAGACTTGCAAATACAAGATGCCGAGCAAATGCGATTGACGAATGAACGAGTCGAGTAAGTACAATAGACTTGCAACAAATAGACGAGAATATAATAATTATATGAATAAATCATTTATTACAAAAAGAAAAGGAAACACATGGAAGAGCAAATATTAATAAACGAGTAAGTAAGAATATACCAGCAACGAAAAGAGGATTAGGTACGAATAGACGACTAAGTACAAATAAACGAGCAAATACAAGACAATAAACAACTACGAATAGAATAAATAGTTAGCAAAAAGAGACGAGCACAAACAGACAGACGAGCGAATACCAGACGCCGAAAAAAATCTGAAGCTCGCCAAACTTTTCAAGTATGATCCTAAACAGTTTAAAATCATAACTAACCGTCTCTGTCTATGCCATCAAGGTACTGTTTGATCTCTGAATCTGTTGGATTCTGTCCCATTTGCCTTAAAACACCGGTCAAGACACGATCTTTTACTTCGTCAAACGTCAGCTTTCCATTCTTGTCGGTGTCTATATTATCAAATACCTCGTTAAACTCTGAAATATACGCTTATTTGTTAAAGGATAAAACATTTCATTGTATGTATTGATGAATACATGATGAATACATTGATGAATGTATTGATGAATGTGCATGCTAGTTGTATGTTTTGGAATTAATTAGTGAATTTGCATGCTAATTGAGTGGGAGTCATTAATGCGTTTTATATAATAATATTCCTTTAATTTTGATATAACTAAATAAATACATGTAAATATATTAGAGCGATTGTACAGAAATTCTGGGTTGTCTCTCTTTGATTGCTAGACTTGGCAGTCTGACTAATGTAAAAAGACGCTTAAATAATCAGTCTTATACCAAATTGTACATCTTTCATTGACAAAATCGAGAAATTCAGTGTAAGGTTTAATAGTTAGTCTCTTAGATGTTATCTTTTTAAATATAGCACGTAATGCACACATAGTCTGTACTATGTTCTTGTCATTTCGTTCAAAAACAAAGATTATCACTTACTTTTTTCAACTTCAACGTTCCATTCAAACTTTTGCTAGAATTAAGAAAAAGTAGTCTTGAATACCATGAAATGGGCTAACACTCACACAAATTTGATTAAAATGCTAATCATACGTCAATAAAATTTTACGCAAATAACTCTCTGAAGAATTAAAGTGGGAGAAAAGTGACATTCACTAAGTCATAACTTTCAAATTAACATTTCCCTTAGTTTATCAAATCAGCACAATAAGTTTTACAATAACCTGTTTTAAGAAAAAAAACACAATTTTTTTTTCGAATGTTTTTACGTCATATAATATATAGTACAAGGAGAATGTTTAAATTCGCAACTTACCTCTGATGCTAGTCCAAGCAAAGATGTCATTATAAAATGTTATTTTAGGTGTGATGTTGTATAAATTCTTTCACTTATGGAAGACACTTTGAAACTTTGCACTTTGGTAAATAAAAATTATAAAGCCAAATTTTTTAAACCTAGAGAAATTCCAAAAATAAAAATAAAACCCGGGCTAAATGGGGTCACTGTATTTTTAACTATGAAAAATATACCTTTTTGTAAATTGGTAATGTTTATATAAAAACAATGTTAAAAACCCAATTAAACAAATCAATACAACCATGTCATATTTTATTAAAATCAAATAAATTTTTAATTGTCCTTTTGGAGAAGGATGGATTTAAATTTATCAACATAGGAGTTTTTGACCTTGGAAAACCCGCTTTGGGGAAAATTTTTACTAAAGGGAACCTTTGACTAACGGATCGCTTTTAAAAATGTTTATCAAAATGGGGCTTTGGTATGGGAGTCTTAAACATTTACAGTGCAAATAAATTGTTCCTATTTAGTTTTAAGAAAATTTAAATTGGGGAAAAAAACAACAGATCAACAACGAGGGACAACCTTGTGATACACGGATGTAGTAATACATTCATACCTGGCATAATTTCTGTAATTTAAAAGCATTACGGTACAGAAAAACTATCCTAGGTACGTTACAGAAAATAACCTTGAAATGAGGAGCGTCTTAATTCAACAAAAAAATGTCCTTTTTGCGGGGTTTTGCACTATTTGGGAGCACTATTGTTGAGCGCTGGCGGCGTTAGACAAGTGGTCGTATTAAAAGAAGTTAATATGTACATGTGTGGTGTTTTCTACTCTACTCGGAATGACTATAAGTGGCATATTTAGTCAGGCGACTCGCTTATAATGGTGTCTCCGACTTATCATATTAAAGAGCTTGCAGCATAGAAGATATCTAATATGTATCATATATCAAAGGTATTGTTTGCTTGTTTCCAGGGAAAAGAAGAACGTGAAATTGATTTCCCTTTTCGATAAAAAACACTTTCCGGATAAAGTTTGCTTATCCTTATTTTTCGCAAATTTGACATACGATACTTAATGTGAATGGTTAAATAAAATAATAATTCAATTGTGCTAAATAAGACACTTGATCTTATTCCGACATCGAGTAGTAATGTGGTAGTAATCCATGAACTGAAATAATAAAAATGTAATAACAGAAACTTATTTTTTTTGCTAAAACAGAGTTTTTGTTTGTTTGATTGTTTTTTTTTTATAATTTGATTGATACGTATGTATGTATGTACACTGTATGTATGTATGTATGTATGTACGTATGTACGTATGTACGTACGTACGTACGTACGTATTTATGTTTGTTACATTTATTTATTTATTTATTTATTTATTTATTTATTTATTTATTTATTTATTTATTTATTTATTTATTTATTTATTTATTTATTCATTTATTTATTCATTACATTAATTTACCGATATTTTTGCATCAACAAATGCCTTAAATGGCAAATTATTTATAAACCATAAATTGAATTGACGAGTCACCAGTTTATAAAAAATTAAAGAAACTCGAACACCAACAATATAAATTATGTTGCCTTTACATCTCGTTTTATTTGTTAAACACTATAACTGTTAGTATTCTATGCTAATGTTAATATGCTGTTGGTGTGATGTTATTAACTTAATATGGTGTAAATATGATAAAAATAATTGCTTTTAAGTAGTTGGAGCTGCTAAAAGGGGAAAAAAAGTTAGTGCATTATATTTAAAAATGTAGCGTCAACGTTTAAAAACGTTTATAACGGGTCCCGTAGGGCATCGCGACACATAATTTCAGACACGAAAAACGAAAAACTATTTTGAAAAATGATGGGACGAATATGAAAAATCGAAGTGCGATGGTGAAAGATCGGGAATCGAGGTAAAAAAAAATTAATTGTGGTTCCTTTTTTCGACTTTTTCACCTCGATAAAATTAAATTTTTTTGTTTTTTCGAGTTTTGTGTGTTTTGCGATGGCCTTAGAAACCATAAATTTTTTCATAAAATATCCCTGTGAAAAAAAATAACTTTTATTTTATTTAATGTTTTAAACCCCAAATGTAATAATTTATGAAAAAATTGAAAAAAAAAAAAAAATTTTTTCCTTTTTTTAAACCGTAAAAATTTTTATTTTTTTTGTTTCCAACATCGCGCCAAATTCAAGGACATTATATTTTTGAAAAGATTTATATTTGTGTCCCCCTCTCCTGCGTGCTGTAAATTTAATAATGTGGTTTTTCAGGTTGGGTCCAATTACCCCCTATTAAAAAAGGGGGTATTTTATTTTTAATTGATCAAAACTAGATTGCTTTTTTGCTAAAACAATAAAAAATTTGAATTTGTTTGTATACTTAAAAACTTAAATAGGTTTTTTTGTTTAAAAAATAGATTTTTTTAAATTGGAATGCTTGGTAAAATTTTTTTTCTGTATTTATGAAATAAAATTTGTGTTAAAGGATTGGTTAAAAAACTGCAGATTTCAAGTTGAAAGGATCCCACATGATGTTGTTCAAAATTTTGTATCATGTAAAATGTAAAAAGAAAATCAGTTAAGTTGAATGTTATTCATTTTTTGTTATTGAAAAACAAAAATAAAAATACCAGTACTTAAGGAGAAAATACATTCGTGATTGAATGGGAAAAAAAGATCATTTTTATAGTCAATTTTATCATAAAGTGCGTGAAATACGTGCTCTATGTCTGGCAACTTATACTTGTACATTTTGACATTTGAATGTACAGTGAGACAATTCAAACTCGATACGTTTTTAGTCTAGTATAATAAAAGAAATAAACTAAGTTTAACGTATTTAAAAGCATGAATTTCAATCAAATGATAATGTTTGAGAAAAGCAATCAAATAAATATTAAATCTATATTACGTTTGTCAGTATCAACTTTTAAACCGATTTAATATTCAAAACATGATTTTGTAAAGTAGTTTGATTAATTAATCAATTACCGCATGAATTGTAATTAATTATATTGTATTGAATATTTCAGATAGTGTAAAAGATTGATTCTCAACAATGGCTCTCTTTCTAAAAGTTGGCATCTGTTCTGCATTGTTAGTAATGTCCGTCATAAATGGTAAGATACAAGTATTTTCTTTTTTCAAATGTATACATTCTTTATATCTATATTTTGAAATCTACTCCAACATATGTACACAATATACCAAAGAGTTGGGCGAAAAGTCAAATCCCAGCAAAACAAACGACTATATTTTTTGTCCCTAAAATATTCATATAAATATCACACGTAGCTCTGATTCAGTTGAGTCCCATTATTATGTAACAATGCTTCAAGTAGTTCTTTTAATCATTTCCCGATATCTCATATTCAAAAGCCTAAAGTTGCAAGATGTGTTCTGATTTACATAATATCACATGATGTCTTATTCAACTCTTTCTAAAAGAGCTCTTTCAAATTGGCACCAGCTGAGTTTAGCAGAGCTTTGTAACAGTCGTCGGATAATGAACCTGAGTGTTACTTAAAATAAATCTGGTTTTGTGTATATTTCAGTTAATGGACAATGTCAAGGTGGAAGTACCCATTCAACTACAGCACAGAGTACTTCCACTAGTTATATTGCCTCGGATAACTACCCGTCGTATTACAGAAAGTAAGTCATTACCCTCGCTTAACATAACCATCAAAATTATTATTCTTACTGGGGCATTTAAAATGTGTGGTTTTCTTAGATAGGTCAATTAACGAATTTAATTAAGATTCAAAGAGATTGTATTTCGTAATTATGCTGTTAGATGAGATGGATTTCATTATTTGCATTTTACTTTGTAGTAAAAAATTTAAGAATCCAGAACATTTGTACTGTTTGTAAAAACAACGAAATTTCATGTTCATGAAATTAAATCAACTTACGGTATTTATAAGCGTGAAACAAATTAAACAAAATAAAACTAATTTACACAACATGACATTAAACGCTAATAATAACAGCTCCTTCCATAGGCCAAAATAAAAAGCATTCCATAAGAGACGACGCCGCTCACCGGCGTCGCCAATGAACACGTGCTGCTTTCGTATTGTTATTGCCTCTCGCCGCTGTGGGTTCGAATCCCGACAGGGACTTTGGATTCTTTCATGTGAGGAAATCCAGCTAGCTTACGGAACGTCGGTGGTTCTACTCAAATAATTCACGGAAGGGCACCTGAGGTCTTCCTCCATCAGTAAAAGCTTGAATACTGTGTCGGTGTGATGTAAAACCCAATCAAAACAAATAAACTAACTTATTTTTAATTCAGTAATAGTACAAAAGATTATTTTTCATGTGGTAAGCTATCAGTCTTGCTTATGGTACTAAGATGCCCATGTGTGCCTAATAATTAACGGAGGGACACCTGAGGTCTTCTTTTAAGATATAGTAATACTAATTTAATTCAATTTGACAGCCAAAAAATAGCATTATGTCACTTTATTGTCAGATGTCACTCTCTGAAAATAAGATAATGTGAAAATGTGAAATATAAACTTCTTTTTCAGCAATATATACTGTACAACGACTATAACTAATCCAGGATCAGGGCGAATTTTATTTCATGTAGAACATCAAGATATAGAGAGACGCTATGACTTCTTATATATTTATATAGGAAGTGGTAAGTACCTTCGATTATCTCCCTTTGACAGCAATGTATTGCAAAAAAAAGTAAAGCATTTTACTATTCGGTATAACTTTACATTACAAAAATTAGTTTAATACGAGTATATAGTCTAATCATCCAGACGTTTAAGTCTTTTCATCTCACAAGGATGATTAAGACTTAAGTGTAAGGTGATACAGACTTAGGTGTAATTTGATACAGACTTAAGTGTAAGGTGGGTGATAAGACTTGAGTGTAAGGTGGGTGATACAGACTTAAGTGTAATTTGATATAGACTTAAAGGTAAGGCGATACAGACTTAAGTGTAAGGTGATACAGACTTAAGTGTAAGGTGGGTGATACAGACTTAAGTGTAAGGTGGGTGATACAGACTTAAGTGTAAGATGATACAGACTTAAGTGTAAGGTGATACAGACTTAAGCATAAGGTGATACAGACTTAAGCGTAAGGTGATACAGACTTAAGTGTAAGGTGATGCAGACTTAAGTGTAAGGTGGGTGATACAGACTTAAGTGTAAGGTGGGTGATACAGACTTAAGTGTAAGGTGATACAGACTTAAGCGTAAGGTGATACAGACTTAAGCGTAAGATGATACAGACTTAAGTGTAAGGTGATACAGACTTAAGCATAAGGTGATACAGACTTAAGTGTAAGGTGATGCAGACTTAAGTGTAAGGTGATACAGAATTAAGTGTAAGGTGGGTGATACAGACTTAAGTGTTAGGTGATATAGACTTAAAGGTAAGGTGATATTTTGCAGTGTTTTTCATGGACTTTATTTTTCGCAGATAAATTCATTCTGACACTTATTTTGATTCAAACATTAGCTATTGGTGTTTTGCAGTGTCTTCAGCCAACCGGCGACATTACTCGGAGAATCAATATTCCGGAAGTGTTGGCTTGACAAATCCGGGGGAAGACCTTATTGTTCGCTTCACTTCGGATTCTAGTATAACATACGGCGGGTATAAAGTGAACTTTATTGCAATCGAAAATCTTGGTAAGACAGCACATGTTTCAGTTTATATTTTTACATGTAAATTAACTATTATATTTTACTTATTATGGCTAAAACCATACTTGATACAAGTGTTTAGGTATTAATGTTTTAATAGACATGGAACAGTTTTAAAATTATAAGAAAGTATTGGAATACAGTATAAATCATTACTTTATTTTATTACATAATTTAAAATAAAAATAAAAAGCAAGGTTAAAGTGAATTGTTCTTTAAAGCAAGGTCTGTAATACAATAGCTTATTATGTTGATAACATTTAGTATCAGACATAACAAACAAACCATAAACCAAGGGAAAATTATGTATAAATGTTGTTTGGCAAGTTTGAGATACATCATTCGATATAACATACATTTATGTAGCAAATAATAAATCGTTCTAGATCATAATAATGAACCATATAAATGTTCATACTAAATCACTTGAAATTTTACTAACTATTTTTCAAGCAATATTTTATAATAAAAAAACAAAATATATTTCTATGGATTTTATCAATATTTGAAATTCATACGGAATATGTGTCCATTGTAAAAATTGTAGACCAATCCACTTTAAACAGAAATGATTTACAGCCCTGGGTCACTGAGGTTTTTTGCTTTCTTTATTCAATTGACTGTAACTGTCGCACGTTCTATGTTGTTTGAATTTAATTTATTTTTATTAACAGTTATTGGACAGTAGAACTGTGAAGACTTTGTCAGTATTCAATAAGTAGTTCCCTTTGTATTACAGGTAGTTGTGGTACTACTATAACGGCCACCTCCACTGAGCAACAACTGAGTTATGTTTACAGCTGGCAATATTCGTAAGATATGTTTTCTATCTTCTTCTTGATACAATGAACACCTTCAATTAAGGGACACCTCTCTTTAACACTTTAACACTTGATTAAATTTATCCCTATTTCAGCTTATTTAATGCTTAATTTACATATATTTGTTATTTGTTTGCAACTAAGTAGAACCACCGACCTTCTGTAAGCTAGTTTGAAAGCGTCCTATTATGAAAGAATCAGATGTCCCTTGCGGGATTCGAACCCAAAGAGATATAGGATAAAGAGATAGAGGTCAATTGTTTAAAAGTCAGCGGCCTTAACTCCTCGATCATTGGAGTCCCATAAAAGCAATATGAAAAGGACATACTTGATGATAAACTCGAATGTAGGATTCACAATATCTACACTTTTTAATGGTCCGAACAAAATTGAAGATTATTGACTTTTTTTTATTGTTTGTTCATCCTTCCGTTTGTTCTTGTGTATGTGAAAGCTTGTGTGTTTGCGTGCGTTCTACTTTTGAACAAAAAAAATACCTGATTATTTTTATAGATCCCCCTGTGCATATACAATATCTTCACAAAACGTGGGCGATTCTGTACAGATAACAGTTCTTTTTGCAAAGGGAATTGTTCAAATTTCGGAGGCCAGTGGTAAGTAAACTTGCTTATTTTTATTTCCTATAAACACAGTGGAAACTGACCAATCGAACCTAGAACAAGATCTTTATTCAATGATAGTATGACAAATCAAATATATGGGGGAGCTTTAGCTTTGTAAAAAGTATGTTTGTCACCCTCATAGGGGATTGTGGATTCGAATCCTACCAAGGTCAGGACTGTAAAGCATCAAGTGACATTGCTCGATCTGGTTTCAAATAACAAGCATTCTTCGCTATCGTTATTAAGCCAAATAATCGGATAAAAATTCTATGACTTTAATTAAAGATTTAGAAAAAGTTACATTTATGGACAGAAGTCCAATTTATTGTTTTATCACAGCATTGTTGGTGTCGTCACATTCTATATTTATGATTATAAGTTATGTTAAAATACTCTTTAGAAAACATGTCGACATTTGAAAAGATCAAGCAGTTAATTATCATTAGACAAATTTTTATTTTGAATTTTAATCATGACGTAAGTAACGTCATAATCATTTAGACTTTGACCGTGTACATATTAATCTTTTAGACTTAATAATGCTTGTTATATATGTTTTCGTTTTGATGAAGTAAAACGATTTTGATAATGTTACAAAAGTAGACCCGAGTAAACGTTTCAGTTTATCCAAGAATATGAGAAAAATCCATTCTTCAGCCAGAAATCACATTGTGATGCGTGGTAACTTCGGAACACCTTTGTTTTGGTATCTAGTTCTGCAATAGAGCTCGGATATCTTGTCCACTCGGCTGTTGCCGGCTTACCGTGCTTCACAAAATTCATTGCCTCGCCTTGTACGTTATCTTCCCACGCGATGTCATCCGGTCCCGGCGGATCTGACATTGCGGAAGCCATGCCACGGAAGAACGCGTAAATATCTATGCCGTGAAATGCGTAATTGCTTTTTATATCACCGTACGCGAACGCCGAATTATGATTTTTAGTATAGTATTTCGCAACATAGCGATATACAGGGGATTTAAATGCAGAGGCAAGTATTGTAGCTAAGTAGTCTATGCCACACGTTAGTCGTGAATCTGTTACCATTGACGTAAATTGAAACTCAGGGGTGGAAACATTTTTCGGATACATGTTCAAAGCTGCCATGGCTATGTTCTCACCAAAGGTATTCAACTTTTGTTTGACGTGCTCCTCATATTCGTCTGTCTCCCATGTCCAGTTTGAAATACCTTGATAGAATATACCAATATCGGCTTCCTGGGCGGTGGTACCTGTATCAAGAAGTAGTAACACATTTGATGATTAACGTACAAAAAAATCAGATCAACGAATAAGTTTACCCGGGTGCATTGTGTTACAAACATAAACTTGTTTACCAAAACGGTTACAATCAGCTAATATAAGATGCTAAGTGAAAAAAAAATCAGTTTAATTTTACATTTTAAATCACCGCATTTAGAGTCTTGAGTCTCTGAATGTTACATTACCATATATAATGAAAATACATGTTATACCCTAATTAACATGAATTCAAGCCGCCATATTGGAATTTTATCAAATGACGTCATGTTGGCGTCACAAAAAAAAATCTTAAAATAATGCGACAACGATTTCGTAGGTATGTATATACGGTGTAACCCGGTATTAGTCAAAACATATCGGTTCATTTTGGTTCGTATTCCTCAAGATCTAGATATATCTTCAACTTAATAACTTAACCGTCGATATTTGTACAGAAACTAATTTTTTTATCTTACCTACTAATACAGGCACATCAACGCCATTGCCGTTAATCCAAGCTTCAAAAGGACTCTCAGAGAGGACATATCCTATATTAGATAAATAAATGGAATTGTGTTAACAAGTTATTTCATCAACTGAGCATGAGCATGTTTTGACTGTAAGACACAGCCATGATTGAAATTTCCGATAACTCACGTAATTGTATAATGTGGATGGTCGGCTTTTTTCATTATTCCGTTTGATTATAAAAGTATTATATATTAAAACAATAGTATACTTGAGTTGAAAGAAATAGTTACATAAACATGCGAAAATTTGTTATGTCCGAGTGATACAGTTCAACACATCAACTAAATTTCATCGTTAGAAATGATAGCAAAATATTATCTGTTAAGTGATGAATTTGATTTCTATTGATTGTTAACTTTTTTCTTCTTTTTGTATTCTTTTTTATCTTTCCAGTAAAGTTTTTTACTTTTTTTTCGAAGCTAAAATTATATTACCATCGACTATGGCAAGTGCGCCGTCGAATTTTCCTTTTTCCGGTAGTTCAATAAGGTCAGCTGTACTCCAATATGGATATATGTCCCAAGGTGCACTGCGTATCACATCGTCTGCTGACAAATCATACAAGCACTGAACATTTCTACAACCAGACGCTGACACAAAAATCTGATTATCCTTAAACGCATCAGTTGCAGTTTTGTTCATCACTGGTGAGGCACTAAGCATCCAAGCTTTGTGAAAAAGACCTGTACATAATGGCGATGCAAGCAAAGCGATAATGGCTGTGCCTCCCGAACTTTGACCAAACACGGTCACCTATATAAAGATAATATACAGTCATAATTTGTACACAGTTACACATATTTAAACTTAGTTTTACCGTCAAACTAATAAGTATTCTACAAACACAAACGATTTAACGCTCCTTAAAATTATAAATAAAATTAAATTAAATGCGACTTATTGTTTGACTGTACATGTTGGTTTTCGTAATTAACTTACATACAACAACTTGCTTGATTACGATTACGATTTTGTACAATTGAAATGCTATCTTACATCGTTAGGATTGCCTCCAAAGCTCTTTATGTTTTCATGAACCCAGCGAAGTGCGGCAATCATATCCATAAGACCGTAATTACCGGAAGTGTTAGTAGGGGATCCAGCTTTGAGCCATTCAAATGCTAAAAATCCGAAAGCGTTTAGTCTGTAGTTTATACTGACAAAAACAACATTCAATGATTGCGCCAATTTTTCTGTAGGAGAATAATTTTCCTCACTTCCGGATCCGCTCGTTAAACTTCCGCCATGAATCCAGAACATAACAGGAAGTTGCGCAGACGTATTCAAAGTTGGTGTGTAAACGTTTAGAAACAAACAATCTTCATTTCCGACTACGTTTGTTTCATTACTTGGATCTCTCTGTGAGCAGATATTTCCGAACATTGTAGCATTTAGGGTTCCCGACCAACAATTGTTGTTTTCTTTTCGTTTGAGAATGGGTGGCCGCCATCTTAGATTACCAACTGGTGGCTCAGCGTATGGTATACCACGAAACGAAAATGCGCCGTCTATCCGTGACCAGTTACCTTGAACTTTACCACAATCTGTGTCTACTATTGCATCGGAATATAGAATATCCGGCGGATCAAAAATAAATCCATGGAGCCCATAAAAAGAAGCAAAGAATTGTAATAAAATATTCAAAATCATTTCTGAATTATATTCTTAATCACAGTGTAAGATAGGTAGTAAAAAAGGTCAGAAAATAGGAGGTCTGTTATCTGTTTAAAATTAGTTCAGATTTTACTTTCAATTTTTGTTGAAAATCACTTTATGAATAGCCAGTAACTACATATATTTTGGATATATACGAGTATATACACTTCTTTATCAGAATACATCACTAACACAACATACGTCTTGTATTTTAAAAGCATGACGATTTTATGTGTAGACGAGTTCTCAAACTTTACGAATAAGCCTCTACGTGTCTAAGAGCAGAAAGACATTGTTACATTGTGAACAAAAAAAATCCGGATCATGATTTTTTTCATATTATCTTCCTTTTTCTTAAATATCTTAATTTTTCTTGACTTTCTTTAGGGCCTTCATCACTTTCGCCATTTTCTAATAATGCATTTGTCTTCATTATGATTCTTTTTTCGTTTATGAAGAAATGAAGAGTAAATATATATACACATTAAAAAGTTAGGTATCAGAATTTAGACATGTTGGTACGTTTTTACCCAATTTTGAATTCTCATGTGTCCTTTGTGATTTTTATCCATATCGTGAATTGTTGTACGTTATATAATAAAAACAAAACATCTCCGAAAAAAATGTTCAAAGGAAATTGCAATCTCTACCGAACCGAAAACAGCGGCCCTGAACTTCGGCTATTGGTGAACCCTAGGCATTTTCCTTCAAATTAGAAAACTTTTAGAGGAATCTTATGAAAGAGTAAAGAAAGTTAGATATTTTGCACTTAATTTAGATGTATAATTATTTTTATTATGTTGTAGCTGTAACTAATTTGGAAACCAGTGGCTCCACCTACGTGAGCACTCAAGACACTATAACAGTGACCGGAACCTATGGTAATGATTTTGTCGTGATGTATGAGTCAACCAGCTCTGCAACTGCAGGTACTTTCTAATACCTTTGTTTCAATTTATACTAGATAATCCACAGAAAACGCTAGTTGTCAAGCACGCTACCAGTATTAAACTGGGAGAACACACAACAAGACTAATAGATAAATAAATAAATAAATAAATAAATAAATAAATAAATAAATAAATAAATAAAAATAAGTAAATAAATAAAAATAAATACAATTAATTGATTATAATTGATTATTCATTTAAATTAACTATAATTGGTCATATGTTTTGTTGTTGGTTTATTTTTCTTGTTTTGTTTTCATTTCTTGCTGATTAACATGCTTGTTTATTAGGGACCGTAACTGCAGCACCAGTGATCAGGAATGAAGATTCTTCTATATGTTATGAGCGGCAGAAAACAGCTGTATTTAACACAAGGTTTTTATATTCTCCAAACTATCCGAGCAGATACCCAAAGTAAGTAAACGTTTGTGTAAAACTGGTGTCGCCTATTTCTGGAACCGACAAAAGTCTCTGGGCCCAACAGTTCTTATTTAAAATGCCGTCAAGATTCGTGCATTTAAATACCCTCCAAGTAAACCCTACAAGTACTAAAACGTGCTGTGTAAATCTTATTAAGAGGTTATCTTGTATATTTGATTGTGGAGGCTTTTGCTTTGTCAGCCTCACACTACGCGCTTAAAGGGCGCAGTAGGTTCTTCCCAGGGAAATCAATATTAGCAAATTACATGTGACTCGAGTTGATTTCACCAGGTCAGGATGTTGCAAGGTGCAGAAGCGTCGGATGTTTTAAGTAAAACTTAAACTGGCTGAGTAATCGGTCAAGATAATTTTACATTGATTATCATGTACCATAGTGTCATAGTTATCTTATCATAACGATATGATATTGTTTCAGTAATGTCATGTCGGATTACAATACTTATTTTCTGCCAGTCTGTCCGTTGCTCTGTCTGTCCGTAATGTCAATTCATGCATGTCAAATACAAATATATATGTATGTAGACCAAATCTATTACGAACAAGTTATGTTTTTATTCGAATAATGCCCATTGAGCCAATATTCACTTCAGATAGCTTCTTATGGAGATCGAGTATTTTGATACATGCTTGGTGGACACTGGGTGTATCCCATTAGACTTCACTATTTGTGAAATCTCGATAACATATTATTGAATAAAACACCTTCTCATGTAAATTCTAGTAAATGACATTTATATTAACTATAGTTCGGCAACATTCTCGCCTTGTTTTAATATTTAAATTGAATTCAATGTGAAAATGTGTTTTATATTTGACAGCGATGTGGACTGTACGGTAACATTAGTTGCTGATGACAGCGCTAAGTCCATCACATTGACTGTCAATGATTACACAGTATTAGTGTATGATGACTTGAGAATTTATGACGGTACGTATATTCTGACTTCTTAAGAATTTAAGACAGTTTGAATATAATGACTACCTAATATTATTCTTAAGAATTTATTACGGTATGTATATTATGACTACTTGAGCATTTTTGACGTTATGTACATGTATATTATGACTACTTGAGAATATACGATAGTTTGAATATTATGACTACTTGATAATTTAATACGGTATGTATATTATAACTACATGTACTTGAAAATTTATGATGGTACGTGTATTATGACTCTTTGAGAATTTATAATGATATGCATAATATGACAATTTGAGAATTTCGACGGTCAGTATAATGTGACTATATAGTTCAGAATTTATGTCGGTAAGTATAATTTTGACAATTTGGGAATTTATGACAGTAAGTTGACAATTTTTAATGGTAGGTATATTATGACTACTTATCATAAGTAGTTTTAACGTAATGTATATAATGACTATATGTATAAAATTGTGTATTGATTATAAAAATAAGGTATATACATGTATCATGAATTCACAAAAATTGATGACGTATACATGTGATAACTGCCTATACTGTTTTAAAATGATGACTTAAAATGAACCATGAAAGTCATAACGAAAATAAAAATGAATAACAGATTTTTTTATTATTAGTTTTGTTTTGTTTTGTTTGCTTTTGTTGCGTTGTTATGTGTTTTATAGTGTATATCTTTTTATTTTACCAGGTGATGACACCAGCTTCAATGAAATTCCCCTAACCACCACTGAGTCAATGACGAGCTCTGGAGCAAGTATAACTCTACGTTTTGTAACAGATTATACCTCAACTGCTAGAGGTTTTAATATCTCGTATTCAAGTGTTACAAGAGGTTGGATCAATATTCGTGTTCTTTTTTTTTTGTCTTTTTTTAAGTGTCTGTTTAAAATTTTATGAACTTATTTAGAGCAAAAAATAATTACAGGGAGGTAACTTACCCCACGCGGATGAAGAAAAAAAGACGACTTATCCGAAATAGAATAACTAAGCACTTTTAAAGTTTCGTCAAGGCGACGGAATCTTTTTAGATCAATTAATCTTTAAGCCTTAAGCGTTTTACAAAAGAATAGCGAAATTCAACTCTGATGCTAAATAATGGTTTTAAGACACTTTTCATTGGAATTGACTTCTTGATTCAAATTTATATCGAGTTTAAGTTTTTAAAAATATCAAATAAATTATATACGTTATATGCAAACCGTCTTACTTCTTGTTTTTAAGGCAAAATAAAAAAAATATCATGTCTGGCTTAATATCATAATTATTGTTTTCATTTGAATTATTCAACAGTTGGGCCTACATGTCTTGGAAACTCTGTAACAGCATCAACGGCAGACGACACAGAGCAGAATATAATGTCGCCAAATTATCCATCTTCCTATAGCAAGTATGTGTTTTTTGTGTCGCCTCTACGGAGTAGTGGCGACATATAGGGATCACTTCTCCGTCGTCTGTCTGTCCGTCTGTCTGTCTGTCTGTCTGTCTGTCTGTCCGTCTGTCCGTCCGTCCGTCACAAAACTTGTCCGGACTACTCCTCATAAACTACTGGTGCAATTTCTTCCAAACTTTACAGGAATGATCAGTACCAAGTCTAGTTGTGCATATTGTCAGCATTTTCCGGTTCAATGATTTTTGTCAGAGTTATGGCCCTTTAATAATTTTTAATTTAAAGTTTGTCCGGACTACTTCTCTTATACCACTAATGCAATTTCAATGAAACTTTACAGGATTGATCTGTAGCTCAAGTCCTTGCGCATATTGCACGGTTTTCCGTTGAATGATTTTTGGCCGAGTTATGGCCCTTTGATAAAAGGTTCTTTTTCTGTGTGTTGCCAGATACACAAAAGCTTGTCCAGACTACTCCTCATAAACTACTGGTGCAATTTCATCCAAACTTTACAGGAATGATCAGTACCAAGTCTAGTTGTGCATATTGTCAGCATTTTCCGGTTCAATGATCTGTGTTTGAGTTATGGCCCTTTAATAATTTTTATTTTTAAAGTTTGTCCGGACTACTTCTCTTATATACCACTAATGCAGTTTCAATGAAACTTTACAGGATTGATCTGTAGCTCAAGTCCTTGCGCATATTGCACGGGTTTTCCGGTTGAATGATTTTTGGCCGAGTATGGCCCTTTGATAAAAAGGTGATTTTTTTCTGTGTGTTGCCAGATACGCAAAAGTTGTCCGGACTACTCCTCTATAAACTACTGTGCAATTTTTATCCAAACTTCTCAGGAATGATCAAGTACCAAGTCTAGTTGTGCACTTTCCGTCTGTCTGTCCGTCTGTCACAAAATTTGTCCCAACATGAAATTGGCCATCATGAGGCGACACATGTGATTACTGATCGCTCTTGTGTTTTCTTCAGTTTAACTAAAATTTAAAAGAGTTTCCGGTTTATACATGTTACAAAGGGGCATGCTGCACATGCCGCACTACACCCATCTTTCCCGGCATCTAACCAAGTAACTGTCAACTGTTCCACAATTATGATTGAGGCAAATATTGAAGACCGAATGCTATTTGGAATATTCCAAACAACCCATGTCATATGATCAATAACACCGGAAGTGACCGGCGCCGTCCGGGAATCGAACTCGGGTCCACTGATTCACAGTCCAACCCTCTACCCATTGAGCTTATCGAACGGCTTTAGAATTCAGAATTGAACTCAACAATGTATACTATCCTCATAGTCTTACTAAGGTATAGTAGAATTTGAAAGTTCATGTTAGTAAAGGGAGGAAATAAGGAATATATTTTTGATAGTCTTGGCCATTTTTCCAATAAAAAAAATGTGTGTTTTTTTAATTTGTTTCTGATGATTATAAAAATTTGTATATATAAATGTAACAGATTCTTAGATGTATAAAAAGTTAATTGGACGGAAACTTATTAACGTTTATATAATTTCAATTAACTGTATGTAACGTTTTTTTTTAAAACATACGGAAATCCTGGGAGGGACTTAAAAACATTTTGCTTAGAATTAATTGTCCCCTTTTTAACAAAAACTTAAAACATTCCTCATTACACAATTTTTTTAATTTTTGCTTACAGTTTTGGTTTTTTTATTTGGGAAACCCAGCCATTATAAAATTTAAATTTCTTTTTTTGATATTCTTTTTTTGAAAATTTAAATTTTTAAAAATTTTTTCCTTTTTTTGGTAGAAATTTGGCAATTTTTTACGGGCTTTACCCACAAAGGGAGAGCTTTATCAGCCCGAATTGTTCTTAAACTTCCGGGCTTTAACTTTGGAAATCAATCTAGGATGCACCTACGATTATGTGGCCATTTATGATGGTAATTATATAAAATTTGAAGTTCCTACATACATACAATGCTTGAATATTTCCGAAATATTCTAATAAGCCTGTTCTCTTGCAGACTATGTCAAGTTAACTTGTATATTTCTGAAAATTGTATATTTCCGTACTATATCGTATACGCGTTTTACATTTCTGAATATGACCAATAAGATTGTCTAATTTCCCGTCACTGTCGTCACCAATTACCAATTCGCCTTTTTAGCGAACAATATTATTTTCACTGGGTTATAATTCAACATGGGTAAGCCTATCTTGACAAGACCATTACTATGTGTAGAAATAATGAATGAATGTTTTACTGAACGTCACTGTTTTAAAGTTGAAAAGTCATGCAGACATTTTACAAGTCAAAATAAGCTAAACATGTCTGCTGGATGAAGGAAGGCCTTCCCGTATGAAGCGCTGGACAAACATTTGTCATATAAAAAGTTTATTTAGTCCCTTCCGATATTGAAACCCCGTATGAAGCGCTGGACAACATTGTCATATAAAAAGTTTTATTTGCGATATTTGAAACCCCGTATGAAGCGCTGGACAACATTGTTCATATAAAAAGTTTATTTGCGAGTAATTTTGAACCCCGTATTGAAGGCGGCTGGACAACATTGTCATAAAAAAAGTTTATTTCGAGTATTTGAACCCCGTTATGAAGCGCTGGACAACATTGTCATATAAAAAGTTTATTTAGTCCCTTCCGATATTTGAACCCCGTATGAAGCGCTGGACAACATTGTCATATAAAAAGTTTATTTGCGATATTTGAACCAACACCGTTGTAAATGAATGATCCAAATTCAGCAACTTACCGCTTGTGGAAAAGACTTAGGAACGTAATTGTTTAGACGCATGAACAAAAATTCTTGCAATGAACTCTTTTTTCTGTTTTTAAACATTTTTTGTTCAGACGTATGAGCATTTAAAACAATACAAATAAAAACAATGAAATTATGTTGTTGTTTTTTCCTTTGATATCAAAAGTCTTCTTAAATTGTTGTAAATGATAAAAAAAAACAAGATAGGGCCAACAAAATGGGCAGTCTGGAAAATCCTCTTTTATTCCGAAGATCTTAATGCAAACTTGCTTAACTTGTTTCCTTATCCATATTTCATTTTATTGTCTTATAAATTATGTTATATTTTAACGATGAGAACTTTTCGTTCAGAAGAGACATTAATCACTTGCCTTTTCTTCTTCAGTTTTCCCACACTAGATTTTTTATGTTTAATTTTTCAGGCCCCTGTACCGATTCTTTACTCATCGCAAAGATTTGCGGTAACGATCCAATTACATACGAAGAGCCGACTGGCCTCTACATTCTTATACACTTTCATACTGATGGTTCCGTTGTCAGAAATGGCTGGAAATTGACCTATTATATAGGCAAGTTTTTTGTTGTTGTTGGTTTTATCACGTGACTTCAAACCAATGTTTTTATTTGTCATATGAAATTGCTTGCGAGTTTCCTTTTAACAAATGGTGACAACTCATGAATTAAAGATATGTGTTCAAATTGACAGGGTTGCCAGACGTTATAGTCTGTATTAATTTTGCAGCATCAAGCCTTATACAGTTTACTTAATATATAAGCAATGGGTATTCAACTCTGATGTGAAAAAATGTCTCTTTAAAAAAAGTGTTTTGATGATCGGACATTTTTTTATTCTATTATTTATGATGTTTCTAATGACGACATTATATTTGAATATATTATCCTGATATTTTCAGCCTATTTACTAATCATTATTATAAGGACAAAACAAAATTGTAATAATATTTTTGTATATTGATTTCAGGGACGTTCCGTGACCCGGATGCAGACGAATCAACAGACGATACGAGCGCTGGCGTTCCAGATTTTGTTTATCCAGTTATTGTAATAGCTGTAATTGTAATTGTAGCAATTATCATCACCGCTATTATTTACTATCAAAGTAGAAACAGTCGTGTAGGCGTTGGGGAAGGTAAACCGAAAACAAAACGACGAACAGTTTCCAATCTAATGTCAGAGATTACAACTCATTTGACTGTGCCGAAGAATAAACATACGGGTGATCGTACGCTATTTATATCTGATGGCTCAGTTCAGAAGAAAACTACAATAACTGTCATACAAAGGAACCCGGCTCCGGCGCCCCTGCCGCCCCCGCCGAAGTCATTGCCGCCACTCCTTCATGATCCTGTGTACCCGCCCATGAATTACCAGAATTCTGGTTCACAAATGCCGGTACAGAATATAATCCCGGTTATACCGGAAGGTGAAAGTTTTCAGCCAAGTGCTCCGCTTCCTCCTGTAACATCCGGTTCTTCTATGATACCGGCACCATATGATTATATGACACCCGCAGAAGCAAGAAAAGCGGGCTTTTACACGTGATCAAATATTATCCCTAATTTTAAAAGATTGAAAGGAACCTCTAGGTTTTTATTGAAATTTTTCCACAGTATGTCCAATTCAATGAATTTTTTTTAATGAAATGTCGTTTCACTGGAACACGATGTTGATTTAAAGCGACTAATATTTTTATTTTTGATCTTTTTGTACTAACTGTGATAACATTAACAATATAATTAAGTTTATTTACAGTAGAAGTGATCAAAGATCAAAATAATGTGATTATTGCTTACATGGTCATATTTAGTACCGGGTAGGTATTTCTCGTAATACATGCACATTAATTTAAGATGTTTTTTTTTGTGCTGTATTAATTTTACTTTTCTATAAGCTTCTAGACACAAACTCAATGTCATTTAATTTTTATAATTAACAATGAAACTATACTGAGTTGCAAAAAATGTGCACTTGGTTTCGTGGACATTTTGTATACTTATTTACGCAAAAAAATGGCATATATGGTATCAAAATTTACAGAAATGTGTTGACTGCACGATGGTTGACGTTTGTTTGAAATTTAATCGGGACTTTTTTATTTTAAAAAAAAAAGCGCAAAACGTAAACTTTTGTATATGCTTTTTTAAATTTGGGAACGTCTTTGGGTGTTTTTAAAGTGTTGAAAGCTAATTTTGCATTTTTTTTTCTTTAAAAATACTTTTTAAATGTTTGGCGTGTTTGTAAAAAAAATATTTAGTGATTGCGCATCACTTAAACTTATCATATGAACTCTTTAAATGCTTATTGTGCTATTTAAATTACAGAATGTATATAGTTTTTAATATATTGTGCCATTACATTACAAATTATGTTTTGTTTTTTAGATTGTTGAGCGATGTTTATTAATATCCCGAAAATAAACTTTTCTTAAATTAAATCTGGTTTTGTCTTTTGGAATTACCATATATATTACAGGCACTTTATGGCTCAGAAACCTATAAATGATCACTTCTTTAGAAAGGGCAAACATGAGTTTTATTCCCTGCGGTTAAATATACACAAGCTATCTACTGTACGCATTTTAATCAACAATGCTAGGCTTGGTGCCTTGATGTTCTTACATTGAAGACTATAATATACAGAACTAACCAATCATGGCATGCATTTTTTTCTTTTCTTCTTCTAATTATTGTCTTTTTTTTTTTAAACGGAACATTACTGTTTCATTTGTCTGTAATATGCGGATTTTAATATATAAACTATGATCTCTTGATTTTCGTGTAATTATTAAATTTATTTCATTCATTCAAACGCGTGTGTCTATAAATATAATGTTTTATTTTTGCATATTAAAATGCCCGATTCTTATATAAATATAAAAGACAATTGTGCTGATTTAAGACAATACGCTTCTTAATGTCTCTCTGTCGAATAAATAACAAAAGTCCTCATGTTATGTACAATGTAACAGAGACATTTTAGTTGACCCTATCAGTAGTCCATATATTTCGGTGACTATGGTCAGTTAAAAGTATTTGCAAGCGTATTTTGGTAGTGATAGTGGTATAAACATTAAACCGTAAAATACTATGTTTTTATATCGGATTAATCTTAAATCGATTTATATATACATTTACCGAATCCGAAGTAATCCTGTTTAAGACATACTTACATACATTTAAAATATACATTGTATTTCGAAATAAAACCGAAAATCTAAAATGTATTCTAAATGTTCCTGAAAACAAAATATAATAAGTAAGGAATGTTAACTTGCCGGAATATTACCTAAGGTAAGACATTTGAAACTTGCTTACGTAAGAAGTACATGTATCCTTACATATTCAAACTTTTTTCTTATCAATCTAGAAAATTCATCTTTGTTCACTCTGAATCTAATGCATTCAAATCAAAGCATACTGTCCTTTTTACACTTATTAGCATGTCTTTCCGTCTTTCCGCATTTCTTTTTTTATTTAGAAACTACCGTTAGATATAACAACAAAAAAATCAAAATCAAATAATGATTTGCGGCTGTCAACATATGCAACAACATTAAAACTGCATTTTAATTTGCGATCGATACTATTATTACTGTATTTATTAAAGAGCTCAATTTGTCTTTACACCTGTCTATGTACATGTATACACGCAATGCAACGAAATTTAAATGATTGTTTTATCTATAAATTATTTACAGTCAAACTTCTGACTCAAACAGCGGTGTAGAACGGTAGGACGATCATAATACTTTAATAAAAGTACCCCTTCTTTAAGGTGACAACAGACACTTTCCGTGGTACTCACATAAATGTCATTTAAACCAAAGTTATTTTAGTAATAATTGTATTCATTTAATCTTTGTGCATTAAAATGTCGTTGATCATCATAAAAAATAACATATTTTGAAAAAAATGCCTTTGTAAATGATTGATTTTGAATAAAAATCCTAAAATTTTAAAATCGTCATATCAAAGTCATTTTTTATTTTTTTGTCATCAAACTTTTGGAAAATAACCCATACTTGATTATCTGGGGAACCGTGTCTCAAATTTTTATATCTTTTCTCAAAAAAATATTACGTAACGTCAAACAAAATATGCGACTTTTTTCACCATACATATTTACGTTGAATTAAAGATAATTAAGTCGCTGATTGAGCAAAACAAAAATCCCTGCCACTGTTCCCTCCGTAATTGAATTCCTTTCATTGCTTTAAAACCGCATGTTAATTGCTTGATTATTAAAAAAGTTATGCCGATTCAAAGTTAGTCCGAACCTGCATCAAAACGAAGTGTCATAAATCGGCTGTTCTCCTCTCGGACCCCTACGTTTCACGCTAAATAATTGCATAATACACAAATATCGCCACCAGAGAGGATCACAAGTTGCGGTAAACATTACTCTAACAACATTTTATGACCAGTGAACATCTGACCAATTAAAAAGCTGCTGATTAAATATCAGTTTATAGCCGAAATTTCTTCAATTCTTAACTGATTTTACTGTTCGTCTGGTATCTTCGCACATGTCACGTGACTATCGGTAAAATTTGAGGCACTCAGTGGGGCAAAATGGAACGCAATTTGCGCACCCGCTAGCGGGGTATTTAATTGTTTTTCCTAATTTGAAGTTTTTTATTATTATCATCAAAGCATTATTAATTATTATACCAGTGTCACTCTGCCTTTGTATTCGTGTATGAAAATTCCGTTAAAATATAAAATAAAAATAACAAAAAAACTGAGCTTCTGACAGTCTTTTAAAGTCCATGGTAGATGTACCAAAAATAAGAACGGATAAGTAAATTTTTCCACCAAATTGATAATGCTTCAAATTTTAATAGAAATAAAAGGCCATTACTGTCGATCATTATGATGTGCCTTCTTGACTTTCTATTATCATGAATATCATCTATGCACGGCATAGAGATCCAGTTTCTACCGGGATAGAGACAATAAATTTCATACCTTTGTCCCCAGGATTTTAGTCTGTGTCCGGATTTATGTGCGAACAATTTATTTTCAGGAAATATTTTAATATCTTTTTTTTTATCATAAGAGAAATAATCATCCTTAGACAATCTAAAATGGTTTAGAAATTTTGTCAGGGCACCTTACCACAAGTCATATAAGCGTTCACATAAAAAATGTCGTCTGCTTGTTGTATTTACTTGGACATTGTTAGAAAACGAGGTTGAATGTAAAGTAAGCCCTTGAATCCGTACAAAAGTCTATCAACTCAATTGTATATATATTAGGATTAACGGATAGACAAATTCTTTTCATACATTATGGAATATTTAGCAACTACAATTTTTTTAATCAACCCCGTGGTCGTGCGATTTGCCGCTATGCTTAAAATTATTTTGTTTCATACATTATGTTACGTACATTGGCCGACAATTTCTTAATTTATAAAAAGGCTAAATGTTGAGATATTCATAAAGATGTACGGTAGATGAAACGATACATGTATTACGAGAAGTATGGACCAGATGGACCTGTAATTCACGGATATATGAAACTTACCGAAAATTCCCTAATTTGATGCCTCAACGGGGCGGAGCGTTATCGATAATCGACAGTTACGGCGAATAGCAGATACAAATAGTATAGTACCGTTTAAATCGTAAAAAACACATTTTTTTAGCGGTGGCACAGAGGTGACATGTGGTGTTTTATTTATCTCGTTCCCACGAGATAATAAGTGTTCCACGAGATAATATGTCGTTCCACGAAGATAATTATCTCGTTCCACGAGTAATAATTTCCCACGACAAATTCTCGTTCCCACGAGATAATTATCTCGTTCCCACGAGATAATAAGTC